ATTATATTTACAAACTACTTAAAATGGCAATACTGTAGTAGAAGAGTCAGTCAACTAGATATTGTTTAATGACTGTCAACACTCAGCAATTCATCTTGGAACGAGAATGTGACTTTAGTACCCAAGAAAGAGTGTCCGATCGATTTACCGAAGCTGAACGCTTAAACGATTCCAGATCGTTTCCCCACTTCCTATTCCCGGAGACTTATTACGTAATATTGGTGACAGTTTTCTCCACCCTAGACTTCTTACAGGGGATTTGGCAAGTCCCTCTCCATAATGACAGCCAAAAGTCAACAGCCTTCTCCGTTCCTACAGGCCATTCATTTCCTCGAAATGAATTTGGGTTATGCTCTTTTCGTATCAGATTTTTAAGGTTAACGACAAATATTTTTAGAAGCCTCATAGGCAGCATCTTTATGGTGTACTCGGATGATGTGATTGCCATGTCAAAAGACGTGGATATGCATCGCGAGAGAATAGATTTGCTACTTGGTACGACTGAAAAAGTTAATTTAAAGAAAAAAAATAACTGTCAATTCTTTAGAACATTAAATTTACTGGTCATGTAGTGATTCCTAGAGGGGTTACGACCATTCAAAGTAAAGTAACTGCCACAATTTTCTTGCACCAAAGACTGCTGATGCGGTAAGATAATTTGTGGGAGCTCAGAGTTTTTACAGAGCTTTCATTTTTTTCCACTGAAGCTCCATTAACTGAATTGCTTCAGAAAGATGCTCCTCTCACAGGGCCTTCGATTAAGAAAGATCATTTCAGACATTAAAAGATAAGCTAACTTCTGCTCCTGTACTAAAAATTTCTGATTTTGGAAAACTTTTCTACCTAACAGATGCCAGTGCTAATGATACATAGGTGCCCTGGCGCAAAAGACTGATGGCAAGTTTAACCCAGTTGCATTTACTAGTGGAGTCTTAACCAAAGCTGCACAATTATTCTGTAACTGAGCAAGAAGCATTAGCCATTGTCTGGGATTTAAAACATTCCCGTGATATCTACCTGTAACCAATTCACGTGTTGACAGATCAAGCACCACTGATTCCTTTGTTCCAAAACAACCTACTGGACATTTAGGAAGATGGTCTTAGACCATTCAGGAGTTTAACCCTTAAACTGTCCAAACAAATTTACGTTCACGTGTAGTGATCCTAAAGTAGATCTACGTTTTTTTTTTTACATATTTTCAAATATAAAAAAAAAAGTAGACAAATTTTTTTACACGTTTTCAAATAAAAAATCTAATTTTTTTTTACATACTTTCAAATGTTGAAAAAACGTAGATCTACGTTTGGACAGTTTAAGGGTTAATCCTACCTTCGCACGCTTGCCTGGCAAGTCGAACGTGGTTTCAGATGCCTTGTCTCGTCACACTGGTGCAATCGTAGTTTATCCTTCATTTAGGGTAGGGGATGTTAAAAATGCACAACGAACCAATCCAACATGGTCTGGTGTGATCCGATTCCCGACAAAGGAATACCGAACTCGACTATCACATTCCTAACATGACATGACACTACGTAATAGTATCCTACTTAACATACCATAGATATGACATACCACTGACAACTTGGATCATGCTACATTCGGGATATTCTCGTCATGCAGGGTTAAGAATACATGGAATACATGTAATACAAAGACTAGCAGACGCTAGAGAAATGAATATTAGGCACTGATTCTACACTGAAAAACAAATGTATGATTACGGGGTATAGCAAAACCCAAAGATGGTACAGTATTATTGTGGTTAGGTTCGAGTAATATAACGAGGCAATTGGAGTAATACACGACTGTTCTGCAGGATTTATTAAGTAGAAATGGTGTGTCATCTGCCAGCTGTCTTGTCTCACTGACGCCTACATCTTAGCTGCCATGCCCACAGGCAGTGCCAGGGTATGAACTCGTGCAAGTCAGAATCACTGACCTATTTCACTCAAACTCAACAGTCACATTCCTATGATGTGACACTAGGTAACGGTATCCTACTTAACATACCATAGATATGACATACAACTAACAAAAAAAATATTAAGTATGAAAGCACTATAAAGTTCGTCAATGACAGTGAGTGAAGCTGCATTCAGTGAACTAGACTTGGTAGGTTATTTGTTAGATTTGGAAATATAGTTGGAATAAACGTACAGTAATGTGAAATGGGGGGGAAAAAAATGTTGAAACACTAATTCAAATTGTTTAGCATGCCATGAAGTGATGTAGAGACTAGAGTCTGCATGCCTGCTAGCTAGGACAACACTACAAACACTGACACTAAATGGGCAGCGAGTATTTACAAACATTACTTGAAGGATTCGATTCCATAGTGAATATCCGTGTTGCGGTTGAAGCAAACATGCGTGTCATCATCACTACGTACAGGGTTTCATGGCAAGTAGCCTGCCATAATTATATTTTGCCACGTTTTCGAAATTTATTTTGTTAGTTAACAGACAACTTTCGAGGTAATACAGCGTTATTGTTTGATGGAAAGTATATCCTCGTCATTTACCAAAAATGAGGCTCAGTTCACGACCATTCTTGGTAGGTTACTAAATCCACGAAATATACCTTCCTATTACCACGTACAAGTGACCTACAGCGGGGTGGAGTCGTACGCAATCCAGATTTCCCCCCCCACCACATGTAAAGGAACCCAGCACGGTGGGAGAACGGAGTGCTGGAATTTTTTTTTTTAATTTGAGAGATAACCTCCACAAAAGACAAAAGGTCTCCGTAATTAGATCTTCTCATGGTGGATGAGATAGAGATAGAATACCTTATAGAGATAGAGATAGGAAGCGAGAGAGAGAGAGGTAAGAGAGAGAGAAGTAGAGAGAGAGAAGAGAGAGAAGAGAGATAGAGAGAGAGAGGAGAGATGAGAGAGAGATGAGAGAAGAGCAGAGAAGAGAGAGAGAGAGAGAGGTAGAGAGAGAGAAGAGACTTAAGAGAGGAGAGAGAAGAGAGAGAGAGAGAGAGGAGAGAGAGAGAGAGAGAGAGAGAGAGAGAGAGAGAGAGAGAGAGAGAGAAGGGGAGGGTCACGGTTGTGTGAAAGAAGGGAGGGAGTGGGAGAGGTGGTTTTAAGGTGATAAAAGAGCCAGCGGACATTCCAGGACAAGAGATGCCCTCGACCGTCTCGCCTCGCTCAACACGCTTCCATTACATTTCAATCTCACTCATTCACTGTAAAACAAAGAAAAAAACGTCACTATACCGTGGCTAGAAAAGGTCGGACTGAAACGTCGTCATAAGCGTCATAGTGACGTTTTAAGTGCGAACTGTGTGTATAATTCACTGTAAAACAAAATGTACAGGAATTTCGTGAGTAAAACCCAGAGTTAGAGTAGTGCCAAGCACTCTTGGCTTCCCCCCAGAAAGGAGTGATAGAAACAGGTAAGGGAGGCCCTTTCTCCAGACTGTCTGCCTTCAAGGTCAAAAGATATGGTGGGCGGCAGCTGCATTAATGTAGGGGCGACTGTGGCCGCCGAATGGAGGGACGCAGGGGAGGGATTAGAGGTGAAGAGCAGAGGGCGAGGAGAAGAGGATGAATCTGATAATACGGCCCCGCGCGAGAGTGTGAGAAAGGTAAGATCAGATAAAGTATTATATTAATGGGGAAGCGCTAATCCCTTACAAGTCATACAGCGCCTGGAGAATGAGGTTTAATTCAAAGGTAGCTCAGATTCCTTTGATCAAGATACCTTCATCAAGTCAGCACTACCTCCCCTCTCCACAATACCCTCGAAGGGATCAGACGAAAGAGGACTGCATGTGAACAGTCGTATCTAATAGTACTCGTGTCGAAGTAAGAGACAACAAAAGTCACTAACAAAGGCATAAAGACAACACGATTGGTCAACAGACAGGTTTAATACCATGGTGATCAACAGATGCTTCACTACACACCATTCTCGCGCTTGACTGAAACGTTGATTTAAACGGGCCTCCCCCCCCCCTCCCCTCCCCCCCTCTGCAACATCGTTTCTTATTTATCGTTAAACAAGTTGTGTGGTTTAAATAACGTAGCCCGACCTAAAACAGGATTTGAAAACACACTGATGTGAAGTATAGGCAAAAAATTAACATGCCGCAATATGCTTCCGTAAGTTGAACGGACAGCAGGTTATATTCTACACTAAGGAAGGGAGATGGTAGGTTTACATGGGAGAAGAGCTCACAAGATCACCCTGTGAGAAGCTCAGTACATACAGCGATACCTGCCACTATGAAGCCAAATACGGAAGAAAGTGCATACACTCAGGATATCTTTAATGGATACGTTTCGGTCCTGGGACGGACATATCCATTAAAGATAACCTATGTATACTTTCATCCATATTTTTGGTAGCTTCATACCTTCTACTTCCAAAACCAAATAAATCCCAAAGTACGTAGTCGTTTGATATCAAAATATGGACAAATACCAGTGTTTGTAGACACCTTCGGAGAACCCAGAGTAAATCAAGATTGATACACTCCCTACGAAAGCAAGACTCGACAGGACATGCAATATCCCCAATGAAAAGCAGGAGCACCACGACTACGCTAAGAGAACACAATAAGTGTATGGGGCCCAAGAATGTTCAACTGCCTCCCAGCATACATAAGGGAAATTACCAATAGACCCCCGGCTGTCTTCAAGACGGCGCTGGACAGGCACAAAGTCAGTACCTGACCAGCCGGATTGGTTCGTACGTCGGTTTGCGTGCGGCCAGCTTTAACAGTCTGGTTGATCAGGCCCTGATCCACCACGAGGTCTGGTCACGAACCTGGCCGCAGGGGGCGTTGACCCCCGAAACCCCCTCCAGGTAAACTCCAGGTATACACTGCGAAATGGTGTGGAAGCGTTACACACGATGGTGTTACCAAGAGATGTCATGAACACCAGTGTCGCTTATGAACGTTATCAAGTGCCACCAACTAGTGTGTAAAGAAACAACTGAGTTACCAACAACAGTGTCACCAACAAAGGTGTCGCCAGTACTTACCGTTGCTAGACAGGTCCTACCATAATCACTGTGCAGACAACAACGCCACTCGCCCGCAGAGGCCAATCTGGGAAGTGATGAAGATTTATATATATAAATGTGCTTGGCTTGAATTCCATACAAAAATAAACCAAGATGCAAAAAACATAACTTATACAGTAAAAGCAAAACACACACACACACACACTTGTGCTTTTTTTTCTTTTTAATTTATACAAACTGTGTAGGCTGTCGACAAGAAAATAGCCTAGTCAGGGATCGGGCCATGAAGACGATGCTAGGAACCATCTACAGATAACTAATAGTTCAAGAATAAACATGTAGGCTAAAGCAGAGTATGCAGTCATAGTATAGACTACCAGTGTCATCACTAAATGTTGGGAGGTTGAGGGAAACGAGTTTAAAAGCATCATAACCTTACATCACTGGAAGATCACTTTCTAAAATATTCAATTGAGAATTAATCCCCACATGCCTGTGGCCAGAGGCAGGCGTATAACCATTCAACTACGTTGAACGGTCATCACTGCAAGAGCTAATAGTCAGGGGAGATGCTATCATGGCGTTAAAGATACTTACGAGCAGTGACGGTGGAGAGAGATGCAAGATATATGTGACAAAGGGAACACTGAAGCTGAACAAGATGAGCCACAGAAATAACAGGAATCGAGTCTTCTACTGTATCTGGGTAATAGACAGAACTTGACGAGGTAGTAGACAGCAAGCCAAATACAGAAATTGTCTTCAAAGAACGTAAAAAGGCTCGAGAGATACAGAATTACGTTAACAAGTTGAGGTTAGAAGGCAGGACCAAAAGCTGAAATGTGACCAGAAGCTGAAATGTATCCCCATAGGAACAAATTTGGGAGTACACGCAACTTGGCCACTGTACATAAACAAAAGAAGGACCAGGAGCTGACACTCAGCCCCGCGTGAACACACAAGTACACACGAGAGCTCAGCGAGATGCACAGGAACCAGTGCCTCATATTTCTTAATTTTCAGTTGTGGACCAGTGGAGCAAGGCTGGCCCCGCCCCGTCCCCCCCCCCCCTTTCCTATCTTCCCCAAGTTACTACCCAGGTGTATCTGAGAACATACGCCTCTCCCCTCTATATGAACGCACATAATTGAATGTTCACACGTGCATTCGCGTAAGCACACAATTACTCCGAGAGCAAAAGCAGTGATATGGTCTCACTGGCTGAAAGAAAAAATAAAATCACACGATACAAAGATAATATAAAACAAGAAGAAGAATTAACAGAGATACTGAGCAAGATGTGCCATGACTATACTTACTGGGTGTCTGACAAGAGCCATAGAACAAAGGAAAGAGTTATAATTACGAGCATATGTTACAAACATTGAATATTAAGCAAATTATGAATGATGCAGTGGCAGTGTCGACTGTGGAGCACCTTGAGTTTAGTTCTGCACATGCTGATAGAAATACAGAAAACAGGACACCATGGTTTCTGTTCTGCACCTGTTACTACAAATAGGTTATTAAACATAATTAAACACGTACACACTAACATAGGTGATTTCATACGCGCACGTGTGCACACACATACTGTACGTGATCAGTTGCGTGTGTACCCGCCTTGCTGTATTAGTGAGGGTTGAGCCGAGGTTCAGAACCTATCACGATATTCAATGTTCAGCCAATTCAAGTAATTAATGTAACATTTTAGCATCTGTTGTATCTGGTCCTGAATCCATGCACGGATTATAGTATTCATGAAGGGAACGCTAAATCCGCAGGAACCATACAGTATCTAGGAAACGGGAAGTAATCATGTGCGATTCAAGAAGCCTGAAGGGAAGGATAGGTGCATTTTCTTGGGTCAAGATCCCTTGGCCGGCACCAAGGCACCTGGAGCGCCTCTACCATCTCTTACTTCCTCAGTACCCTTGGAGGGTGTTCTTGAGGTCAACACTCCGCAGCCCTTGACCAGGCCTCTGGAGGGATAATGATCCAAGGAATTGTAGCTACTCTTTCCTGGGATCAAAACTAGTTACCTATTCCCCAAGAGCTGTATGATCCTTACGGGTTCAGCGCCTGCCTTTAATACTTTCACGGGAGAAATTTGTAAATGGTTATCTCATGACAGGTTGGTCTGCTGCCGGCAATTTACCACCACCTTTCTACACACACACGAGCACAGACACACTTTTCAGTCCCACGGTCACAACCTACTAGTAAAATTTATTTACCTTTGCTAAAAGGTCCGCCCAAAGAGCAGGAGAGTGTAGGATGTGACCCTGAGTCCATTACCCGATCATATCTTCTGACCCCTCCATCTTCCATTACTTGTTACCTGGTAATGGTTCTGTGGATCATCAACCCAAGGATCCTCGCCCTGCTCCAGGGTTTCATCAGTTAGGCTACTGGTGCTAGTAGTAGTAGTAACAGTTCCAAGCCTATCTACTACACGAAAGTCATTAATGCTGTATGTAACTTGCTGACCTCAGTCAAGAATAGTTTAAATTAAACTACCAGTAAGACAACCGCTTTATGGTCCATGTGCAGCAGCAGCAGCAGCCAGCAGCAAGCCCAACAAGCCTCATTCGCCAAGAACTGCCGGCAAGTGAACATTTCCCACACTTTTCTGTGTCCAAATCCTGCACTCGTATCCCTTGGGAAACTAAACCCCTAAGAGTCCTACATCGCCTGGGAATATAAGGCAATCAGGTTTAATTCAGGGAAAAAGAAGCTTCAGTTCCTTGGATCAAGAGCCCTTCAGCATCATCCCCATCTCTAGGGCTGTGGAGTGACTAGTACTTCACCCATCACCTCCACAACATGATATACGCCAAGATGCTGAAGGGCTTTTGATCCAAGGAATCGGAGCTATCCACCTCTCAAATCAAACCCAAATACCTCGCATTCCTCATGCGATGTACGGCCACTACGAGTTTAGAGCTTCCCAATGAACCTGACTGGTACCGTACTTCATACCTGGGTAATTACCAGGCTATCTTCAAGATGGGGGACCTCGCTAAGTTCAAGTCAGATCCTAATGATCCAAGTACCTACGGTAGATTGCGTGATGCTCGCACCAACAGCCTGATGATCAAGTTAGCAACCAGAAGGCCTGGTCTAACACCAGGTCGCAGGGGCAATGACTCCGGAATACACAGAAGTATAGGCGACTTACATGACAGTGCGACACTTCGAAGCAAAGGTAGTTTAAAAAAAATAGGTTGAACAAGTACGTGAGGTGTGGGTGGGTGAGAGACCTGCCTAGCATGGGCCAGTAGTAATAATGCTGCTAGAATTACCCACATGTTAGATAAAAGGACACGTGCGGTAAATTTTCGCTCTCCAGAAGTTTTGTCAAGCTCGTGGACAGCAAAATGCTGCCATGATAAAATGTTATTAGTTGGACATGTGTCTTGTTATCCAAGATGGTTCCCAGTGCCCACCAAAAGCTCTTAACTCAAGGAATTGGAATATCCTTTGCCTTGAATCTAGTTTATTGTGCACTCTATATTCATCCTGTGGACGGTAGTGGCTAGATTGTGTACACCATAACGAGGTACACAGCAGCCTCTACCGTCCATCCTGTGGATGGTAGCGGCTAGTTTACTGTGCGCCCCTCATCCATCATATGACCTAGGAACCAGACCCCAAAGGGGATTAACAGGAGTACATCTGTATTTGTTTTATTTGTTGCAAGTTTATGATATTTTCTCAGTATGTCTGGTATCTTACTTTCATTAAGATACCTTAACACAAGTCATTATACTATCTATATTCCTCAATGAGTGAAGAATCAAGCATGGTCCATAAGTGATTAAGGTTGATCATACATTTTGAATTTATATTCATCTATGTACAGTATATACCGAACTGCATATCTTGTAACCTAATTATGGTTACAAGTGTGCGCGTGCGCGCGCGCTGGCCAACAACAAACAGGACAGTCAAGATATGTATGAGAGTTAAACACCAAAGTTTCACGACTCGTGCCGGGCGGTAGGGAAGGGGTGCTAGAAGGGCATGGCACCATTATGGTGGGTGGGGCACCACAACCATCGTGGGTGGCACACAGCGTAATCTCGTAACGGACAACGCTGGTGGTGGGCGACACTGCCGTTACCGTGGGCGGGGCTTAGCGACACTCTGGGCGACGACAAATTGGGCGTGGACGTGATTACAGCATCCACGGAGACGTGGGAAGATGCCTCCCTCAGCCCACAACCCATCCTAGCACTACCAGTAATACTCGTGCAATTTTGAACGTTTCCTGCTCATGCTCAGCTACCTTGTTGCCAGACTACTATATGGTTAAATGCACACATACACACTGTGTGTGTGTGTGTGTGTGTGTGTGTGTGTGTGTGTGTGTGTGTGTGTGTGTGTGTGTGTGTGTGTGTGTGTGTGTGTGTGTGTGTGTGTGTGTGTGTGTGTGTGTGTGTGTGTGTGTGTGTGTGTGTGTGTGTGTGTGTGCGTGCGCGCGCGCGGCGCGCGCGCGCGCGCACGCACGCACGCACGCACGCACGCACGCACGCACGCATATGCTGAGGACAGTTTCAGTTCCTTGGTTCACGACTCCAATACTTGACTATTTGCCAACTATCGTTTTTTTTACAACTCAATTTTCACAAGTTTCCTACCAGACAATGAGTATTGGCTTGTGACTACTACGCTTTGTGATAAATGGTTTAGAAACCCGCCAAGTTGAAGAACGAGAGACTAGTGCAACTTTTGTCAGACACTGACATCTTGGGTTCTTGATACAAGGAATTCTTCAAAACTTGTTCAACGTACGGACATGACCTACTTACACTAGTGGATGGTTCCATTGTAACTCCGCTCCCTCCTGCTTCAACTCACCCGACTACAGTATATAAAGCACTACTCCGAGCATATGCTGTACTTTCAAGACTGATGGACTGAACACGTCGATTCCAGGCTGGGGGACTGATTACATCAAACTACTATTTTTCTACCTTTCTTTTCTGTATTGGACTGATGAAGCCACTGTGTGGCGAAATTTTTCCTCAATCAAGATTCCCAAATGTTGCACAAGTGTCTTATCCTTCAGCTACTACACTACCA